CCTCCATATTTGTGGCTTTGACTTTTGCAGATTTGATGATTCACAGATTTGATTAATATGTTCTCTCTAGGAACCTCGAGGGTCTCCAGCGTGACTTTGTTGTCAACGTCTGTCAAAAAGTTATGCTGGAGGACCTAGAGATTCCTAGGGAGAACACTTCTCTAGGCATCTGTTGGTCCTCCAGTGCAATTTCGTGGTCAGCTCCTGGCAGATCTTGACCACAGAATTGCCCCGGAGGACCTAGAGATTCCTAGAGAAGTGTTCGGTCAGGTTTTTCCACTTTCACGGTGGTCCTGTGCCCCTAATCCCAGCAAATGTGGAAGATCCACAGTACTTCCTTTTAGCTTCCCTGAATTTCCACCATTCAACTTCAATGAACCACTGGGTTCTAGTATTACAAGAGAAGGAGGAAAAACTTCCCCTTACCCACTTTCTCCTCATCGTGCATACAGAACTTGGAAAAAGTTACTTTTTCCATAGAACACCTCCTAGAATCTCTGACATTGCCAGCTGAGGATTTCTGGGATTCTGGAAGTAATATTTTTCTGTCGTGCCTCCTCTTGCTCACTCTTCCTTATTACCCCAATAGGCTAAACAAGGGAAAGGAAGAATTGAGAGTGGCAAGTCCTGAAGACGGGGGTCAACAAGGGGAAGCATTTACCTCGGCGTACGGCTTCTCTGCTTCGATCTGCACCATGGGATCGTTGCTTGCCAGGAGTTTGGCCACTTCACTGTCCTGGCCTAACTTGCCCCAGGCATAGTTCTGAACAGCACAGGAAAGGGGAAAGACTGAGCAAAGAAAAGACAGAGAGAGAGAGAGAGAGAGAGAGATTATTCTCGGACACAGTGCAGACAGACAACATTTCCAGAATCACACATATACTTTCCAACCATCCTGTTCTGGCAGAGATCATCAAATGTCCAAGTTTCTCTTTCCGCCTCTCACCTTCCCCCTTCGTCCTCAGCTTACTTCTATTGCTGCAAACGGAGTCCAAAGTGCAAAAGCAGCTTGGACGCTGTAGCGTGCCATTTGTTTTAATACTGCAGTCATTTAACTCTGTTTTAATGTACTATTTTTGTAGGCTTATCTGCTGTTCGCCACCTCGAGTCCCTATATTGGGAGAAAGGCAGGATATATGAAGTCAATTTTTGACTTACGGTGATCCTAAGGAGAACCTATCACAGGATTTTCTTGGCAAGTTTCTTCAGAGGGGGTTTGCCATTGCCATCCTCTGAAGCTGAGAGAGTGTGACTTGACCAAGGTTAGGGACTGTTAATTCTCCTTCAGCCCCTGAGCCTCGAAAGGGTCCATTCAGCACACACACAAGTCAAATATATAGCTTACCAACTTGGCACAGATAAGCCCAAAGTCATTTCTTGTCCATTTTAATTTTTTCCTGTCAATCTTTTATGGCTGTATTTTATTAGATATAGACCAGGGGTAGGCAACCTTTCCCCTTTAAGGGCCGAGGGACTTCAGCTCCCAGAATCCCAGGAGCTATTGGCCAACATGGGACTATGGGCCAACATGGCTGAGGCTTCTGGGAGCTGAAGTCCCTCGGCCCTTAAAGGGGAAAGGTTGCCTACCCCTGATCTAGACAAACGGTGGTAGATCCAGATATAAAGAAGGAGCAAAGGAGAAGCAATGGAAGCCCTGCACTACTTTCCCATCTCTGGCAAGCCAGGCCTGAGGCGCTCTGACTTCGCTTCCGGCTCCCTCCGTGTGAATGCCTCTCTAGGCGCACTCACCTCGCAGCTCTGCCATCCTTCCGACGCTTCCGGTGTGTGCGGCGTGGGCGCTTGTGGTTTTTTTCCCGGCCGGCAAAACGAGACGGAGGAGCAGCAGCGGAGGAGGCGGATCTCCCGACACGCCCCGCGGCCCGAGGAGGAGCCTGGGAAATGTAGTCCTTCCGGCCGGAGTCACTCCCCTCCGCCCCGCCCACTGGGGACAGGAAGCTGGGAAGGAAGAGAAAAGGCATAGAGTCGTCAGCGCAGATTGCAGAGCGGCAAAGGGAGAAAGGAGAGAGAGGCAAGGCCTGGCCTGGCTGGGCCTCAGGGCTGAAAGGCAGCCACAGTACTTAACATCTTGATGGCATTATTATTATTATTGGCTTTGTTGTTATTATTAAAAGGGTTTCTGTTTTAAGGGATTATTATTATTATTATTATTAAGGGCTTTTGTTATTATTGTTATTAAAAGGCTTTTAAGGGCTTATTGTTGTTGTTATTATCATTATTAAAAGGTGTTTTGTTTTAAGGATTTATTATTATTATTATTGTATAAGGGCTTATTATTACTTGAAGGGCTTTTTGTTTTAAGGGTGTATTATTATTATTATTATTATTATTGTATAAGGGCTTATTATTATTATTATTACTTGAAGGGTTTTTTGTTTTTAAGGTCTTATTATTATTATATAAGGGCTTGTTATTATTATTATTTTAAGGGCTTTTTGTTTTAACGGCTTATTTTACAAGGGATTATTGTTATTATCATTATTAAAAGGATTTTGTTTTAAGGGCGTATTATTACTGTATAAGGGCTTATTATTATTATTATTATTATTACTTGAAGGGCTTTTTGTTTTAAGGGCTTATTATCATTATTATATAAGGGCTTGTTATTATTAAGGGCTTTTTGTTTTAAGGGCTTATTATTACTATTATAGTTATTACTATTATTGCCTTTTTGTTTTAAGGGCCTATTATTATTATTACTTGAAGGGCTTTTTGTTTTAAGGTCTTATTATTATTATTTTAAGGGATTTTTGTTTTCAAGGCTTATTATTACTATTATTGTTATTACTATTATTGGCTTTTTGTTTTAAGGGCCTATTATTTTTATTATTTTTATTATTATTATTATTTAAGGTGTGGCTCTGCACTGTAGAATTGCTGCAGTTTGACCCCGCTTTAACTTCCATGCTACACTATTGTGGGATGTGTCGTTTTGCAAGGTCTTTAGCCTTTTACACTGCAAGGTCAGTGACATTGCTTTAACTGCCTTGGCTCAATGCTCAAGGCTAGGGAAATCAGAAGAAGACTAAGAATGGGGAGGGTGGCTATGAAAGAACTAGAAACAATCCTAAAATGCAAAGATATACAACTCAGCACAAAAGTCAGACTCATACAAGTCATCGTATTCCCTATTCCCATGGATGGATGTGAGAGCTGGACAGTTAAGAAAGAAGGTAGGAGGAAAATCAATGCATTTGAGATGATGTGTTGCTGGAGAAGAGGGCTGAGGATCCCAAGGATGGCCAAAAGGACAAACAAATGGGTCCTAGAGCAGATCAAGCTGGAAACCTCCCTGGAAGAAGCCAAGATGACCAAACTGAGGCTGTCGTACTTTGGACGCATCATGAAAAGAGAGGACTCTTTGGAAGAGACAATAATGCTGGGGAAGGTGGAGGGAAGGAGGAAGAGAGGAAGGCCACAGACCAGATGGATGGACTCTATTAAGTAACTGACGGGTATTAAGGGTTTGCAGGATTTAAGCAGAGCAGTGGAGGACAGAGGGTCTTCTTGGAGATCTCTCATCCATCCCTTGGGTCCAGATTGACTCGAGGGCAGTGAACAACCAACGTTTTGTCAGACATTGAGACTTCTGTGTGAGAGAGCTCTGGTGCCACACCTACCTACAATTCCCAGGATTCCCTAGCACTGAGCTAAGGCAGTTAAAGTGGTGTCAAACCAGATCATTTCCACAGTGCGGATTGCAGCCTTTGTGGGAAACTAAGGGTGCAGCTTAACTGTAGAAATAATGCAAACTGATACCACTTTAAGTACAATGACTCCATTCTACAGTATCCTGGGATTTTTAGATTTCGGTCTTATCCTTCTCTTTCGAAGGACACTGTAGAAATAATGCAGTTTGACCCCACTTTAACTGCCATGGCTCCATCCTACTGAAATCCTGGGATTTGTAGTTTTACAAGGTCCTTAAGCCCTCTTTGGCAGAGAAAGGCGGCCTAGAAACGAAATTAATAAATAAAATAAAATAAATCTACATATTTTTTAAAAACAACTAATGCAAGTACCGTATTAACTAACTCCGAAGCCACATTTACCAAGCAAACAAGAGCTGCGCTGCTACACGATACACTACGGTAGAAACAGCGCATGCTCACTTGCCTTCCTTCACTCTTCTCCCCTCATTTCCCGATTTTTTTTAAAATCCGGACATTCTCTCCTCTCGCGCATGCGCTTTGCTTATCTGTGCTTTCCTTCCCCCTCTCCCTCCCTCCTTCCAGGTGATGAGGTCATAAAGGAGGGGTGAGGAAAAGTGTTTTTGTCACGTGACGGAGGAACGGCGGTGGCTCGTACTGCGCAGGCGTGACGGCCGGAGAGCGACGTGCGGACGTCCTCCCGGAAGTGTGCGTGCATGCGTGGTATCTAGGGAGCAGGAAGCGGGCCGGATTGGGAGCAGGAAGCGGCGCTGAGCCTCCAAGGAAGCGGCCATGGCGGCCTTCGACACGAACCCCTTCGCCGACCCGGTGGATGTGAATCCCTTCCAGGTTGGTGTGGGAGTTAGTTGGGGGCCAGTTAGTTGCTGGAGCCATTCAGAGGCTGAGGGGAAGCTACGCCCTGAATTGGGGGAAGGGGGCGCCATTTCCCTCAATTGAGGGAGGAACTTGTTGTTGTTGTTGTTGTTGTTGTTGTTGTGTGCCTTGAAGTCATTCCTTATGGCGACCCTATCCTGGGGTTTTCTTGGCAAGTTTCCTTCGGAGGGAGGTTGTCATGGCATTCCTCTGAGGCTGAGAGAGTGTGACTTGCCCTTATGGTGACCCTATCCTGGGGCTTTCTTGGCAGGTTTCTTCAGAGAAGACTTGCCCTTGCCATCCTCTGAGGCTGAAAGAGTGTGACTTGCCCTTATGGCAACCCTAAGATGAATATATCAAGGGGTTTTGTTGGCAAGAATTGTTCAGAGAGGGTTTGGATGTGCCTTCCTCTGAGGCTGAGAGAGTGTGACTCACCCAAGGTTAGCCACTGGGTTTACATGGCCCAACCTGGATTCGAACTCTGGTTTCCAGAGTCGTAGTCTGACACTCAAACCACTACTCCATGAGACTCAGCCTGTACATATACACTCTTCCCTCCACATTTGAGGCTTTGACTTTTGTGGATTTGATTATTCATGGGTTTTATTAATATGTTCTCTCTAGGAATATCTAGGTCTTCCAGAGCAACTCTGTGGTCAACTTTAACCAAAAATCACACTGAAGGACCAAGAGATTCCTTGAGAGAACACTCCACTAGGCATTTGTAGCTCCTCCAGCACAATTCTGTGGTTAATTTCTGGCAGATGTTGACCACAGAGTTGCACTGGAGGACCTAGAGATTCCCAGAGAAGTGTGTTCTCTCAGGTAAAAATATAGTGTTTTTGTTATTTGTGAAGAAGGTTAGAGTGAGCCAAAGTGGGGGCAAAGGTCAACTGTTCAGTTTTATGGCTGAGCAGAAAGCTGGACCTTAGTCTTTCCAGTCCTGTCATGCTAATTATTGCACTGTTTCTCTCCATTACCAGACCAACACACACAAAAGGACTTAGGGAGGGTGCCTTTGGGAATAGGATTTGTAGCCTATACATGTTTACTTAGAAGGAGGTGCCACTTGGCTGCTTAGTGGGCTAACTCCCTGGCAGGGTAGCCAAAAAGTTGATGTCTTTTCATCTTCAGGTAATTCCAGTCCTTCAACCATGAAATGAGTCTCAAAGAGAGACTGGTGCATTGGGCTTTGATTATCATATTTGCTGTCCCAAACTCCTGAGAAGAAAGTTAGGTTAAAAAAACAACATAGAATTGGAAGAGACCACAACAGCCATCCAGTCCGGCCCCCTGCCATGCAGGAATACACAATCAAATATAATAGATAAATACAATAGAAAGGTGCTTCTGAGTTTTGAAAATAAAAACCATCAGCTTTGCTTTTAATTCTCCTCGCTTGTGTTGTTGGTACTGTATAGAGAGTAAACTCTAGATGCAGGTGCTGTTTTCTTATATCATGTGCAGTGCAAGCCACATTCATGTTAAAATAATAGCTGTAACTGCGGAAGGGGAGAGGGAAGACAGTTGAATTATTGTCTAGGATTTCATATTTAGGCAAGCCTTTCTGGTCTGACTTAAGTCAGAATTTTGGGCCTGCTTCAGTAGTGTGAGAATGTGGCCTATAACATATCTCAGCATGACTCAGTAAAGGGCTCAGGCTAGCCCTTTTTGTTCCACTTTCTCCCTGAAATATCAGCTGATCGTCATGACTTGGTTATGGTATTTCTATATAAAATCTAAATATTCTTTACCATGCTTTTCCCCTGCTGGTTTCTTCTGGAGTCTTATTGTGTGCTTTAAATGCTGAGCCTGGTAAATATCTTTTGTTTTTGCTTTTTTTCATTTCATGTTGGCTTTCTGGAGCTGTAGTTCAAAAAACCAACCTTTCCAACTTCACCTTAAATGCAAAACATACAGTGTTGTCAGATCCTTATAATCCTTAAGACAAGTCATATATTACAAAAGCATGAATGTCAGTGACCTAGCACGGCGTTGTCTCTTAAATGATATGTTTTTGCTAGCTTTAAGGTACATTTGCCATTGTTTTTCCATGACATTTTACTGGGGAGAGTAAAATTGTTAGAGCAGACTGTAACAAACACAAATCACATAGACCAGGGGTAGGCAACTTTTCCCCTTTAAGGGCCGAGGAACTTCAGCTCCCAGAAGCCTCAGCCATGTTGGTCAATAGTTCCATGTTGGCCAATAGCTCCTGGGATTCTGGAAGTTGAAGTCCCTCGGCCCTTAAAGGGGAAAGGTTGCCTACCCCTGACATAGACTTTCCTAAGTATGTGATTATGCATCTGACATGAAATGAGACTCATTCCTGGTTAACTGCTGAAAATTTTGCCCTACAGATGTGTTGGAGTGCAGATCCCACTATTCCCAGCCAACATAGTCATGCACCTAAAAGGTATCACAATGGAAAGGTCTTGTTTGCAGGTCCCATGGACTTGGATCAGTAAAGTTCGGGTTCATATCCTGACTTACCCTAGTCATGAAATTTAGTGGATGGACCAGTTTCTGTCTCTCAGCCTGACTTGATTTATGGATTTGATGTCAAGCTAAAAGACTCAAATATAGCAGTCTTTCCTTCAAGAAAGTGGAATATAAAAGTTAATAGCAATAATAAATTGAAAAATCCCAATAAAAAAATATGGTCTTCATTGAGACCTCAGGGATATGATCGGTTTGTTGCATTTTTACACACATGGATTAAATGTTATATTGTAAACTTGACACACCTCAACACTTTGTTTGTACTTCCTCCCAAAAGTTTGGCTTGGGAAAATACAGTGGCAGGGAGGAAGAACTATGATTCCATTGTTTTGCTTGCTGACACTTTCAAGGAGCCAACATTTGTAACCATTTTCTTCGTTTTTTGGTTTGTACCAGGCAGAGTTTGCTCCTGTTCCATTTCTGCTTGCTGTCCCTCCTAGTGACAGGGCATGAGAACAGGGAGCAAAGCTGTGCAATAGAGTTACTATCTCTCCCTCTGATCATCTCTGTTTAAACTAAACCTAGGGTATACAGTATGTTATCTCATCAACAGGATAGAGTTGCACGTGTGCATACTGTATTTTGAATAATATTTGTATTGATATCCAGACAAAACATAATAATAAAACATAAATAACAAAATATATCAAAAAATTTCAAATACTTAAAGAACATAACATAAAAAAACCCAGAAAGTTGACTTCCTTCCTGGTAGTTCATACTTTGAAAGTAGTCTGATTGTCTGATCGCTTTGCCAATAATAATTGTTCAGTTCTATTCTTAATAGTTAGATTTTACCTTTAATCTTAGATGCAGTAAATCTTTCTAATTGATTCTCCCCCCTTCATGTTTGTAATTGTTATACAAGTTTTGTTTATTTCTATAATTTTTCTATGTATCTATACAGTTTGCAAGTTTTCTCCTATCAGTCTTGGTTCTCTATGTTATAGTCCTTAAAGTTCTTAATAACAGTATCCCCTCAAACAATTTTCCAAATATTTGAATAACACGTACCAATCTTTCTCAATTCTTTCTTCCATTTTCCTTTCATTCAGCAAGTCATTTTATCTAGCATTGCCATTTCATACAGTTTAATTGTTACTATTACAGTGTGCACACACTGCTTGCACTACATCTGTTTGCTCCCAGCTTTCTGAGAGTTGAACAGGAAGAGAATGCTGGTGCCCAATATGAAAGTTCAGTTATGCTAAGTTTCTGCTATGATACTGAGAATTCAGTCCTAAACCTTTTACTAGAAAGTAAAAAAGCATAAAATTACATTATGAAACTAATGGTTATTCTCTTTCTACCCAGTCAGTTGATCCTGTGTGCTTCATTTAAAGGAGCATCACTGGGGATTAACATGATTCAACAGGGCTAAGCCCTGGAATTTGTCATCTTTTTGTGAATCAATCTCTATCCACATTTTTTTACTTTAGCCATAACTACATGCATCATAGAATAAACTATTTAACGGCCTGGTCCTATGTATGCTTACACTGAATTCAATGAAACCTACTTTCCAAGAAGACTTGCATAGAATTACAGTATTGTTATCTGGCACAATGAGGATGAGTGATTTCTTGAGCCTATAAGGAAAATACTTTAAACCAGGAAGGGGAAATGTATGGCCCAGGTGTTAGTAACTGCAATTTCCAGAATCCCTGAGCAAGGACTAATGGGAATTGTAAATATACAACATGTTACCCGACCATGCAAAGATTATACCTAGCCCTTACCAGTGTACCTAAAAGAATAAAAAAGGGGGCAGTTCTGTTTTAAAACTACTGCACACAGTAAAAATTGGTGGTTTGACCTTTTTCCCCCTCAAAGGCCTTTTTTTTTTTTTTAACGATTGTATATTGCATCTACACACAACAAAGAATTTCTGTGTATCAATTCCAAGTACTTTGACCATCCCATTGCAGAGAGAGAAAGACCTTATCCAAGTTTTGTGTGTGGTTGAGCTGTTGACATTAGAACTTGATCTATGGAGGAATGTCCATGTGGTTCAGAAAATATCCAAGCTGGGGAAGGCATGTGTGAATCTGGCCCCTTTGCCAGACTGATAGACAGTCAGGCGCTCACCCTTGGAAAACAATTCTCCTAGTTTATGAAGGGCTCCTCCTCTCTTGGCAATGACAATCCGTTGGCATATAGAGGAAGCTGTTGAAACCTCAAGTTGCAAACTTTGCTGCAATTGTTTCAGGCAACGGTGCATCTGGTGTGAAACAATGCTGTCTTGAATGAGCTGCCTTTGCAGAGTCTGTTGACTTGATGGGGTACTCCCTCCCTTAGCTATAGAGCTTTTCTCTTTCCTTGTGATAACTTTGGATTCAGAGTTAAATTGAAGAATCTGTTGGGCTGTTGTCCTTTCTTAGCAACTTGGCAGGGACCAAAGCTCTCTGGAAACATTTCCATTCTTGCAATGCTGCCTGGGTTTTAACAAAACTGTATTGGCAGCTTTGCCTATCTCTTTGAAACATGTCTTTGTTTAACGAGGGAGTTGGCAGCTCACTCCCAAATCAGCTTTTCTCTCTTAGTGACTTTCCACAAGCTTGGAAAACATACTTTTGGGGGGCTATAGCTCCTAGGTTCTGTGAATTCTGAGGGTTATAGTCCAAAAAAAGTAAATCTTCCAAGCTCCTGAGTCCAGTGCCACTGCAGCTTGGAGTATGTACTTTGTAATGCATAACAATAGGTTCAAAAACCTTCCGATGAAGCTCTCTTTGATGCGTAGTTTCCCATTCAAAGTTTGATTCTCCCAATGCAAGCTGTTCAGGAAGTCACAGGATTTTTTGAGCTCCAGTCTAAAACTTTGTCACCAACTGCACATGTAATTGTCAAATGCGTAAGATTTAAACTGAAAGCTGAAAATAATGCAGAGATGTTTCTAGTTATACTAGTTGTGTAAAGACATTTTTCAGCATTCTTCTTTATTGGAGAAATGGTGTCTTCAGTTCCTTTAAGTGATTAAACATTTGAAGTGTTGTAAAAAGTTGTAAGCTCTTTGTTTCTACTTTGATTT